CGTTGCTCTGTCATCGTCTTTGCTGTTGCATGATCCTTATCTGGCCTGCCGGCGCCGCGGCTCGAGCTGGCGGTCGCCCTTCGGGCCCGCGGGAACATCTTCTGAGACAAGTGGACGCCGCCGCCTTACTTGCAGGCATTGCGCGGACAGCAGCATGGCAGACCGCAGTGAGATCCTCAGTCGCGTGGTGTTGCCAAGCCTGGTGGAGACGCGCGTGATCGACCTGAAGTCCCAATCGCGCGTGCACTGTACCTGCGTGGCGTTCAGGCACGCGCGTGATGCTGCTCGCTCCGCGTTCAACCAGTACGTCGCCAGTGCAACTTTGGACGATGGACAACCGATTGATGATGCGCGACCCCGGCCTTGAGTTTCTTTCCCGCGGGCCGCCCGCAGACCTGGCGGCGCGCCTGCGAGCGTTCAGCTCCCGCGCTGAAATGTGCGGGAAGGAGGCGGAGAAGCTAGCGGGCGAGCTACGCCTCGCTCGTTCCTTGCACTCTAAACAAGTTTTATCATGTGGAACTCTGCGACGACATGGCGCAGGCAGCGCTGCGGGCTTAGCTCGCACTTGAAAAACGCGGCAGTCTTCTGTCTCCTCCCGCCACTTTCATCGTCGTCCTATTCCCCGCCTCACCTTCTCCATGCATGCTGCTGCTTCCGCGATGGCCTTTCGCCCCCCCCGCCCTCCATTCCATCCCTCTCCTACCCCTCGTTCCCGCACCCGTTCTTCTTCGATCCTGGGGCCTCAAGCCTCGTTCTTTCGATCGTCGTCCTGTGAATCGTGCAACGCATGCGCATCCCATGTAGTTTGCACAGCAAATCGCCGCGTCTACACTGTCGTTGTTCCTGCTAATGTTGGCATACTCCTCTTGCCATTCGATGCACGTGGGTTGGGTACGTCGCAGGGTTTTTTTTTTGGGGGGGGGGGGGGGGGGCGGGTCCTCCAGCCTTACGCCGTGGCCGAAGTAATCTTCCTAAGCACTGGGAAAAACCGGCGTGCCGACCCATCCGCTATCACTTCGGGTCTGGCAGGGTCCGCCAGCCTTACGACGGAGTGAGAGTGAGCGAGAGAACGCCGGAGGAGGAGGAGGAGGCGAAAGGAGGAGAGGGGGAGAGAGGCGGAGGAGAAATCCAATACACCGGGAGCAGCGCGCAGGCCAGCCTGCCATAGGCGAACCGTTGCGTGCAACTGGAGAATTTGGACAATGGCAAAACTGCATCTATGAGAGGCCAAGCTCCGTGAATGACCATGCGAACTTTAAACCCCGACAAGAACGAGGAGGAGAGAAGGAGGAGGAGGAAGACAGGAGGGAGGGGGAGGAGAGTGGACAAGCCAAAGCACTCGGAAATCCCCAGCGAATGCAGCTCCAGCCGGAGCGACTCCAACAAGCTATCATGATTGCAGACGGTAGATAAGCGGCAGCGGCGGCAACGGCAAGAGAGGAGAGGAGAGGAGACAAGCAGACTCAACACGATGGCGCCAAGACGCGCCCCTTTTCCACCGCCGCGCCAAACAACAACCCTCCGCCGTGCGATAGCGGATGGGCCGGCACGCCCATGAGCCTATCGGCCACGTGGCCGGGACAGAAGCGAACAGCGGAATTCATGTCACGGACTCGGTGCGCTGCCGGATCGGCAAGTACCGCTGCAATGCACGGCCGGACTAACCAGAACACGATCCGAGGAGAGAGCGGAAGGGGGGGAGAGAGGAGGAAGCAGGGCGGAAGGGGGGAGGAACGTTCCTGCAGAGCGACGTGCAAGCGGCCACCGTCCCGGGCCGAGTGCGACGACGTGCACGGGATCCAAGAGCAATGACCAGTACCAGTGTGACGAACATCACCAGAGACAGCAGCCTTCCGCAAAGCAGTAGCACCAGTGTGACCAGCACGAAGGGAAGACGCAGAACAACAAGTAGCACCACCAGCGCCATCATCAGCACCACTGCGACCAGCCCGACGGGAAACAGAAGCACTACGCACACCAGCACAGGTGCAGCGAAGAGCACCACTGTGAGGCGCATCGCTGGAAGCAGCACAACTGCGACCAACACGACGGAAATCAGCAGCACCATGCGCAGCACTACTAGCGGCACCAGCAGCACCAGTGTGACCAGCAAAACGATGACCAGTAGCACAACGAGAATGATCCAAGCGGCACCTTGGCATCAAACTGGCCGCGGATGGGGCCGCGATTCGGACGCTTGCGCAACCCACAAGCTTATGAGGCTGCGTCTTCCGCTGCGACGCGAATGGCGTTCGCAATCAAGATGCGACAGGCGCCCCAGCGACGGTACAGTCGATAGTCAAGGAGAGAAAGGCATTCGCGTTCAAGGGTGCGGCCGGCGCCGAAGCGACAGCACAACATTCGCAGTCACATTTTCGGCCGGCGCCAGGCGAAGGCAGCGTTCCGAATCGAGAGCACAGCCCGCGCTGAGGCAAGAACAACAATCGCAACCATGCGCGCGGCCGGCGCCCAGGACCTGGGCGAAAGTAGCAGTCCGAGTCGAGAATGCGGCCCGCGTTGAGGCGAGAACAATTATCGCAATCATGCGTGCGGCCGGCGCCTAGACGAAGACATAAGTTTCAATCAGATGTGGCCGATGCTACAGCAATAACGACATGGTCAATAACGACATGCTCAATGAAAGATGTAAATGGCGCCTGAGCGACAGCAACATTTTCCATCAAACATGTGACAAGCGCCACAGCGAGAACGACATGCTCGATGAAGGATGTCGCTGGAACCGAGGCAACAAGAGCATTTTCAATCTGACATGTGACCGACGCCACGGTGAGAACGAAATGCTGAATGAAAGATGTCGCCAGCGCCTTGGCGACAGCCACATTTTCAAGATCTAACAAGCGCCAAAGCGAGAACGACACGCTCAATGAAGGAGCTCGCCAGCGCCCAGGCGACAGCAGCATTTCCAAACAGATATTTGGCTGGCGCTACGGCGAGAATGACATTCTCAATGAAGGACGTCGCTGGCGCCTAAGCGGCAGCCACACTTTTGATCAGAGATGTGGCCCACGCACAGGCGAGAACAACGCGCTCAATGAAGGATGTCGCCGGCGCCTAGGGCCTAGGCGGCAACAACACGTTCAATCAAAGATGTGGCAGCACACGCACAAGCTGGAGCATCACTCAGAGACACGCGTGTCGCCAGAATGCAGGTGTCACGCCCATTCCACGCGGGCTGGGCCCGGTGTCACCGAGGTCTGGGCTACGTTGGGTGGGTAGTCCACGTTGGGGGGATAGTATATATAATTACTGGCACACAGAATCTAATTCAAGACGACAGCCGCACAGTCTCCACGACAGCCCGTCCAGCGCAAAGAGGCCGACAAGGATGGCGAAATCAGTATGGCAGCTGGGCAATCCAAGTGGTGAGTGAGGCGCCAGCCAAGCGCATGCACGTCACGAGCTGATGATCCCCTCCCTGGCCTCCTGTAGTACGATCGTGTTAATGTCACCCATGAAAGACGACAGCTGCTCGATCACCTCGCCCGCGAAGTCGAAGTTGATGCGAGTGGCATTCCAAGTTACTCTCCACAGCGGCCTGGTGAACTCCTCCTCCTCCTCCTTCTCCTCCTCCTCCTCGCCGACTTGCACAAGTCAGCCATGACCTCCACTCGCACTTTTAGAAGAAAAGCTTCGCGCTCCTCCTGCCGCAAAGGACCCCCCATTGCGGCCTTCACGCTGACCTTGACCACCCCATGCTTCTCCAAGTATCCTAGGAAACGGCCTCATGCCGGAAGGTATGGACACAAATCGGGGGAAGGCTCCACGATGCCGTAGGGGTTCGAGGTCCCGGATCTCGCACCACCCACTGGAAATCAAGTTGTCGATCGGTTTGACCATCCAGGGATCGTCCCTCACGGCAGTCTCCGGCACTCTCCACCAATGAAACGTCGGTCCCAATGAACAGCACGCGGGAGCCAGTATTCAGCGTGGCCGGGACATAGATCAGCTTCCACACATCCTCACCGACATGCTCGACCATGTGATCCACCCACTTCTTGACTTTGCGCTTGCTGCAACATGTGATGTATCCCTCGACTTCCAACTTACGCGGGACGAAGTATCACCTGCCAGCAGTGTTGCGTTCTCCTCCAGCGGCTGTCTCTCCTCCTCCTCCTCCTCCTCCTCCTCATCATCATCATCATCATCATCATCATCATCCATCATCATCATCATCATCATCATCATCATCATCATCATCATCATCATCATCATCATCATCATCATCATCATCATCATCATCATCAGCATCATCATCATCATCATCATCATCATCATCATCATCATCCTATCGCGCTCCCTGCCGTGCATGCCGCCTTCTTTAGCTCATGAATTGTCCTTCTCCACCTGCGCGAGGCGACGCATGAGCTCCTCGAACTTGGCGTCCGTACGTTCCTCTGAGTCGGCAATTTTGACGCCCACCTGCCCCATGAATCGAGCCATCCTAGGGCCTGACTTCCCAGCGCATGTCGGATGTTTCGAGCGCCTACCAGGCGGCGCTGTCCACCGATTCGGTTATGAACCCCTCCATGATGCCCGAGAGTTTTTGGGTACTTCTCTGCGGGGACACCGCACTCCTCCAGAAGACCACTCGCAGCAGCCGCCATGCCTCGGCAGGTAGTGGCCCCCGGGCTGGCTGGGGCTGTCCCGACGGCCAGTGTCCAACCGACGGCCAGTCTTCGACCGACGGTCGGTTTTGCAGCACAGCTTGAGCCAAACACGAGTTGAGCCGTCAGCATCATCAGCACCATCATCCCCTCGCCCTCCCTCATCCTCCCGCCATCGCTCGGACGTCCATGCCCCATGCATTTTTCAACTTCGTGCACTCATTATCCCGCAGGATGATCCGAGATGCTCCCCGATGGTTCTCGCCGAGAACACATGCACACGTCCGAGCGATGCCAAGTTAAGTAAACAACCCTCACCCGCCGCCCCGGCGCTGCTCCCCGCAGAACCCGACTTACGGGGGGCGCCGCGCAGTCCATGAAATCCGACGGCAGGACGTTCAGCTGGTTGTGGGAGAGGTTGAGCACCTGCAGCTTTGCGACCACGCCGCCGGAGAGGGCCTGCACCTCTGGGCCCGAGCTGCGCGCCACCTCAGGAAGCAACTCCTGGAGAGCCTTCGCAAGAACGATCGAGGGCTATCAAGCCCGATTAAAGGGCAACTGAGCCAGACCAGGCCAAATTGAATCTGGGCTTAGTCCCCAGTGTTGCTGGATAAAACGACAGGATGATGCGGAATAAAAACAGTCCGGTTTTCGACCACGGATGTACTGGCGCCGATACTGAATTTAATATCCCAGGAGTTGTATCATAGGCTACCTGTCGGCGTTGCTGGAAAGTGGTGCTGGCCCAAGGTGCCCCCAGCTTTTCTAACCTTCAGGGGCCAGGAAATTTTGCCATCAAAACCAACTCAGGGGGCGCCTCCACTAGGGTAAGGTGATCCTGAGTCTTGGTGCTGCTGGTAATTTCCCGGCCACCTAAGAAGCCCGCATACTACCACCATCACCGAGATCATGATCACCTTCCATCGGTGGAGGCAACCGCCGACATCGGTGTTGGTGCCAACCTCCAGGCATCCGACACCTGCGCCTCCCTGGAAAAAGCGCAAGGGCCACCTCGTGGCCGCAGGGCCACCTCGTGGCCAGCACCTGTGCCCGAGGCCAGAACCTCGCGCCTCGCGCCGCGCAGGGCGCGAATCTCTGCGGCCTTGCTGTGCCTCCGGAGGGTTCGAACATACAGGGTGACTGAAGCCGTCTTCGCCCGTGCTGCTCCCTGAGATGGCCTGCACGAGACCCAAATGAGCGACAATCAAAGACGGGTCTCACGCGAGGCGACACAGCGACCTTACGAGGTGGCTTACGCGGGCCTCCAGCTTTGTACGCTGGCATTGGAAACAGGGGCGCTTGCGCGCGACTGTTCGCGGGCAACTTACGCGCAAATGTCGGCGCAGACGACCCCGTTTTTCTTGCAACGCTCAGATGCAGAACTGACCTCCGGAGTGGGTACAGAGGAGGCCAGTCCACAAGAAACCTGCCACAAGAGACCCAACCCTGAGACCCCAGGACGTCCATCGCAAAACCATGGAAATCCAAGAAACCCAGGGCACCCTGGAGGCAAGCAGAGTGCTTCTTGGCATGGGCCCCCCCTGTAGGCGCACACCCGGTGGATAAAGGTTGAGAAGCTGACACGGCTGCTCCGTGCGCTCGCCTCCCCTGCGCGCGAGAGGTGAGCGCTCCTCAGGCAGCGTTGCCTCTTGCGCGGGGAATCGCGAGTCAAGAGCCCACCTCCACGCTTGCGGTGGCGCAGCCGTTATCCAGGGCCCCTCGGATACGAGCCAGAGAGGCGCTCCCCCTTCTTGGGTGCACCGTCTCTGCACGAGGAGGAAGAGGCAGCGCGGAGGGAATCAAGAGGAAGAGGGCCGAGAAGCACCCCTCATACCCGGACGCCTTGTCTGCACGGCACGTCTGAGGCCCTCCGGATCCGGAATCGGTGGCCCGTGGCCCGCGGTCTCCCGTGCGATCTCCCCTGTGGTCTCTCGTCTCCTCCTCCTCCTCCTCCTCCTCCTCTCCTCCCTCCTCCTCCTCCTCCTCCTCCTCCTCCTCCTCCTCCTCCTCCTCCCCCTCCTCCCCCTCCTCCTCTCGTCTCTCTCGCGTGGCCTCCGGCATGGCCTCCCGTGTGGCCTCCCGTGTGGCACCCCGCACGGTCTCCCGTGTGTGGTCTCCCGTGTGGTCTTCCGTGTGTGGTCTCCCCACGTGGCCTCCCGTAGGGTCTCCCGTGTGGTCGCCCCTGTGTTCTTGGGGGGCCAGATGCGAACCCTACCCCTACCCTTACCCTGGCGGAAGAAAGCCCCCCCACACAGCATCCTCGAGCAGGAGGGAGAATCTCATATGGTGCTGCACGCACGGGAGACCAGGACGGGCGAGCATACGGCAGAACTAGGGGGCCAGATGCGAACCCTACCCCCTACCCCCCCACGATTTCTGAGGGGGAGGGTGGGGTTCACTGCGTTCGGAGGAGCTCCCGAGCGAAGTAAACCCCACCCTCCCCCTCAGAAATCGTGGGGGGGTATGGGGTAGGGTTCGCATCTGGCCCCCCAGTTCTGCCGTATGCTCGCCCGTCCTGGTCTCCCGTGCGTGCAGCACCATATGAGATTCTCCCTCCTGCTCGAGGATGCTGTGTGGGGGGGCTTTCTTCCGCCAGGGTGTGATCAAAACCTTTGGCCGCCTGTTGCCCGCTTTGTCTGTCCAGGCTTCTGGGGCCCCTGGAGACCTCCAGGGACCTCCAGAGACCTCCCAAGAGCTCTTCCTCCTGCACGTGTCTGCCGCTACGTCATCCATGAGTTAGGTCGGGCATGTCCTCATGCAGGCGGAGTTTGGACGAAAAGTAAAGAATGGGAAAAATAATGTTCGAAAATTGTCAGAAATAGTCCAAAAATCCCATGATTATTGTTTGACTATGTTTGAATATTCCTCCTGTAGAAGGACATGCCCGACTTATCCTTGAGTCTCGGCTCCTTCCTGACCCCTGTGCCAACGCCGCCGTCGGACCCACGCACCCTAGCGTTGCACACCTCGCAGGTGCACCCGCAACACGTCTGCACTTCCTGTGAAACAAAAGCTATTGATTTGATGACCGTGCGGGGCAGGGTTGGTGTACGGGCTTGCTCGATAGACATTACCAGTCGATGAGTGTCACCTCCACGTGACGATTGGGGGCTGTGTTTGAGCTAAATCTCCGACACAGGGAACGCTGATCATTGAGTTCGGCTACACGCAAGAAGTACCCTAGGCAACACGCAAGAGTTACCCTAGGCAAGAGTGACCTTTGGTGCGCAGCGTAACGGGGGACGCGGAGTGGCCAAACCTGGGCGCGCAAGCCGCTGTTACCGCTTCGCGATCGGCGATCGGGGGACCTCATTTGGCCCGCATCAACGGTCAATCCGGCGAAAGGTCGCCCCTACGTCCAGTCGATGAGTGGGGGATTTGAGGGCCCTCTGTAGGGAAACAAACCATGACAGAAACATAAAATCTCGGAGGTCCGCGCGGATTTCTGGGATCGGCGCTGGACCCCCCCCTCCGCGGCGCGCGGAGCGCGCCCAGGGGCGGCGCCGGGGGCGCCGCCGAGAGGGTCCAGCACCGATTCGAGAAATCCGCGCCGACCTCCGACTTTTTACGTTTCTGCCATTCTTCGTCCCCCTGCTCCTCCTCCTCCTCCTCCTCCTCCTCCTCCTCCCCCTCCTCACTCATCCCTTTTTCTTTTCATGATCCTCCTCCTCCTCCTCCTCCTTCTCCTCCTCCTCCTCCTCCTCCTCTTCCTCCTCCTCCTCCCCCTACTCTGGAGAACGAATCACCCACAGGGCTCCCTGCCACGCTCAGGCGTGATATCATACCAAGGGCTGCACGGCACCCCCCAACCCCGTGCCGAGGTTCCCTGGGCACCCCGACGCCTCCCCAGCGCTCTCCAGGGCCGCTGGGACGCCAAAGATGGTTTCCGAGACGGCCAAGGCAGGCCACCAAGGCCGCCAAGGTGGCCCAAGATGCTTCTAAGACCGTCCAAGGGCCCCCAAACGGCCCAGGATGGTCTCAAAACAACCCAAGAAGCCTCAAATACAGCTCGAGAGGGCTCCAAGAGGAGCTCCAGGAGAGCCCGAAGAGGTCCATGAATTGTGCTCCTGAGGTGTTCAAAGATTGTCGCGTTCTCGCCTTTTTAGGTGTCCGTCAGCCCAAGACGGCCTAAGAAGTATCCAAGATGCCCCTGCACTGCAGGAGGTCCCCAGGAGAGCTCCAAGACAGTCCAAGAGGCCCTCAAAACGGCTCAACTGGCCTCCAAGACGGACCAAGACGGAACGAACTGCAAGACGCCACAAGAGACCCCCCAGACGACCCGTCCAGGCCAGGGACGGCCCAGAGAGCTCCCCAAGATGGACTCTGAAGGCGCCAGACTGCCCAAGAGCGCCTGAAGACGGCCCAGGGTCCTCCTCCTCCTCCTCCTCCTCCTACTCCTCCTCCTCCTCCTCCTCCTCCTCCTCCTCCTCCTCCTCCTCCTCCTCCTCCTCCTCCTCCTGCTCTGCCTCCAGCCCCCAACAGGCCCCGAGAGGCCCCCAAGACGCCCCCAAGAGGCCGCCAAGAGGCCCCAGGAAAGGACGGAAGAAGAGGAAGGGGGCAAGACGACGACGATCACGAAGAGAGACACCCCGACACAACGCGAAGGGGCGTGTCACATGCTGCGGCTCCCCTAAGCGTCTGGGCACGAGGTCTCACACGTTACGATTTCCGACGCGCTCCCCGAACAGCTGCCACCAAGTTGCAGGGCTGACACGATGGCGGGACTTTGGCGCAGGCAGCTGGATACATTCCGCCACCGAATTGACGATCGAAGCCCCGCGTGCGACCCACACTTTTGGCGTCGCGGCCACGCGCGCAGCGGCGCGGCGTAGAAAATCGATCGGGGAGACGTGCGCGGCCAGCCCAGGTCACCAGGCGTGAGGACCTGGGACCCGCCCATAACGGGGTCACTCGCGGAGGTCAGGGGACATAACTCCCACCCTCGCTTCTGCAATCTGCCCTTTTCGCGCTCCACTCCCTTCATCATCATCTCTCTCTCTCTCTCTCTCTCTCTCTCTCTGCTTCCCTCTCTATCTAAATGTAGTATAGTCCTCATGCCCATGAAATTACAATGAAAAACCCAGCATGTCACCGTCACCCCCCCCCCCCTGGCGGGGGGACGTATACGCCTTCGGCCCCCCATGCTGGCGGAAGAGGCCCCCAAGAGAGCTCCACAATGCGTGCAGACGGCCGAAGGAAACCCTACGAGAGCGCCCCAGGGCTTACATCGGGCTCCCCAGATAGCAAAATCCACTTCCCGAAACGGCCCCAAGATGGCCCGAGAGCGCTCCGAGAGAGCCCAAGACAGCTTCTTCACGACCAGTGAGGCTTGAAAACTCCCAAGAGGCCCCCCAGAGGGCTCCCAAGAGGCAACAATAATCAACAAATTCCTTGCGGGAAACGTGCATTTTTAGCACACGCGCTTCTCCGGCTCTGACAGCGTCCAAGATGGCCCAAGAGGCCCCCGATATCGCCCCAAGACAGCCCTAGGGACCTCCAAGAGAGTCCCAAGACGGCCAAAGAGGGCTCCGAAACGGCCCAAGGGAGCCCCAAGACAGCCAAGAGGGGCCCCAGAGGGTCCCACAGGGACCCCAAGGGAGCTCCAAGAGGGCTGTAGGAAAACCCCTGGACGGCCGAAGAGGGCCCCCAGAGGGCTCTAAGACGGCCGCAGCTCCCCAGGACGGCCCAAGAGGGCCCCAGGACAGCCCAAGAGAGCCCACAGCCGGCCCAAAAGAGCCCCAAAAGGACCTCCAAGAAAGCCCAAGAGGCCCCCAGAGACTCCAGAATGCTTCCGAAAGACTCCCAGGAAGCTTCCCAAGGCTTGATGCTGCTGGTCGCGCACAAGCCCCATTCCTGGATGGGATTGGCGCTCTCGCCCGAGCGCTGGCCACACCCCTGTCTGGGAGTCATGCTGCCGTCTGCGCGCTGGCCAAATCCTTCATGGAACGCGGCACTCATTCCGCAGCGCCAGCCACACCCCTGATTGACTATTGTGATGCCGCTCCACTCCATGGGAAAATGGTGCTCCACCCAAGCGCCAGGCACATCCATTTCCAGGATTTGTGCTACCGCCCCAGCGCCGGCCGCATCCGTGCGTGAGACTGGCACTCTCGTTTGAGCCCTGGCTACATCCGTCTTTTGCGAGCGCCACCTCTGGCGCGACACGACTGGCGACCGCAGCTGCCGTCCTTTCGTGCTGGGCGAGTGCCGGATCTGGGGTTCGGTTCGGACGGAACGCGCCGGGTTCTTTTGCCAATCGGGGCTGCGCCAGGTTAGATCCTCAACGTCAGGTTCGGGAGTGGGTCGTAGCAGCGCTGCGGCTACGTCAATATGCGAACCGCAACGCAATCAATCGAACATGTAGGTGCAAGGATCAATACTATAAGGCGAAGCGCAGCGAGCCTTGAGGAAGCGACAGAAGAGACGACGGAGGAGACGAGAGAAGAGGAGAAGAGGAGGAGGAGCCGAAGGAAGATGAGGACGAGAAGGAGACGAAGAAAAAGGATGAGAAAGACGAGAAAGAAGATGCAGACCATTGATGGCGATGCGGAGGAGTGGGGGCGGAAAGGAGGAGGAGACGAAGGAAGAGGAGGACAGGACAAGGAAGAGGAGGAGACGAAAGAAGAGAGGGAGAGAGAGAGAGAGAGAAAGGGATAGAAAGAGAGAGAGGGGGAGAGAGAAAGAGAGAAGCACACAACAGCGCCATAGCAGAAACGCAGAAACGCGAGTGGGAGTTATGCCCCCAACCCCACTCACAGGGGGGGGGGGGGAGGCTGACGCGAGGGCGAGGGGACGGGGAGACGGGGAGACACGGGGAAGCGGGGAGGGCGGAGCAGTGCACAGCACACCGCGGAAGAAAACGAGGCGCGGCAGCGGGCCGCGACGGCGAGCCGCAGGGGGGAGGAGACGACAAGCAGACGGGGCCCAGCCGGGGCGGGCGCCAGGATGAGACAGCAGCGTGCGGCACTCACGTACACACACACACACACACACACACACACGCACGCATACACACACACACCATACACACCATACACACACACACACAAACACACACACACACACACAAACACACACACACACACACACACACACACACACACACACCACACGCACACACGCACACTTTTTCCCGTCGGCGGCTAGGCAGAGTGACTGCGAAAGAACACACACACACACACACACGCACACACACACACACACAAACACAAACACACACACACACATAGAGTTCACTGCTCAATCGAAGCGATGTATACGTGGGCTGGTGTCGGTCCTCCTAGCTTGATGAGGTCGAATCAAGTTGATTCGATCTAATCAAGCTAGGGGGACGTGCGCTGACAACGCGTGCCGCACTCCGCGGACACAGTGCCAGGAATACATACCCACTGGCTCTACTGGCTACCCACTGCATCATCACAAGATGATCGCTGCAAGACACGTCTGCTCCGTGACTGCATCCCCTTCAATTTAGAGCCCGTCATGGCACCTCGATGCTGTAGATGCTGTTCCAATCCAAAAACAAGTGCTCTAAAACTGGGAGGTCCCTAGACCCTTTAATCTCGTTGGGCTCGACGCCGCTGATCACAGAGCCAGTTCGCCGCACTTCCAGCTCTTGTCGGGAAATGACGGGCAGGCCCGCCAACTCCATCGGGTAGGCCAGTATCTGAAGACATCGGAGAGGCGAGACTACTATCGCTCGGATGTTGCATGTGGCGAAGGCACAATCGTCCCGCCAATATGGTTAGAACGAGAAGAGAAGAACATACCAAAGAACATGAACCCGTAGCACCATCCCCGTTCCGTAAAAAGCAGCGGCATAGCATTTCCTGCTTTGGGAACCGCCTCCACCAAGCCACTGCCAAAATGAAGGCACTCTCATTACGGGATGCTCCCAATTTCTGCCATGGACAACCGCCAACCAAGAAGCTTCCCAACCTCCCTGGCATCTCCCCAAGACCTCTGTCGAGCCGATCTGAAATTGCAATATTGCGACATGTGTGATCGTATCGCGACACGCCTCCCATCGCTATCCATGTCTGGCCGATGTACCTTCGAGACGACAATTGCACGATCGGCTTCAGCCCCCCAACTTTCCGTGAAGCCGAAATGCTTGAAGCAATCATGACGAAAACCGCGCGCAGAGCACCTCCAGAGAACCAGACTCCGCCATGGCGAAGAAATGGCGAACGCTGATTAGACATATCCCAAGTAGAAGCGCGGAGGAGGGAGGAGAAGAACGACGACGAGGTAATCCAAAGAAGTGCTCAAAGGTCCCAGGGAATGCCGATGGGGTGTGCGAAGTTGCTCGGGCTTCCAACAATGTTTGCCAACGTGGACCCCGAATGGTAAGTAATTACACCTTGGATGTGTAAGCTACGTGCTGCGATCTACGTGGTGCAATCCATTCGTTGCCGGTTACGTGGTAAAGGTATGTGGGGCAGCGCACGTAAGGCGGCACATGGGGTACAAGATATGTGGTGCAGCATATGTGAGGCAAGCCTCGTGGTGCATTATGTGTGGTGCTAGGTACGTGGTGGCATCAATGTGGTGCAAGCTATGTGGTGCAAATAAAGTCTGAAGACGTTGGAATCGTCGACCTCACTGCTTGCGCAGACATCCCACCCTCCCACCCGAAACATGTTCGGCAAAACCCTTTCGTCCACGATTGCGGCTACTGGTTGGCACTTGCTAGCGCGTCTCCACGACGGCGACGGCGTGCGCACGTTCGCGCGCAGACAGAGCAGCCAACTGGTTTGACACAACCGGTGCGGCCGCGATGGCGCTTACCGATGGGAGCTCTCCGGCACGTCTAACAGGCTGCGCTTGCGCGCGGCCACTTCAATGCTGGTCGGTGACTCGGGCGGGCGCGATTCTCATGACGCGTGCAACGGCGGCAACGATGATGACGATGATGACGATGATGGTCATGATGATGGTGATAATGGTGGTGGTGATGACAACGATGAGGAGAACAGCGATGGTGGTGGCGATGAGGACGATAACGACGGCAGGGCCAATGACGGCGCCGATGCTGGTGACGACGATGACGATGATGATGATGCCTATGCGTTAGTGATCGAGGTGATCGTGCTGATGATGGCGGCAACGGCGGCGACTGGCAATGACGATAACGGCGGTGATGCGATGGGGCTGATGGGGGTGATAGGGGAAGTGCGCGCGCGCAGACATTCAATCAACTTGACATATTGATTGTTGAACGCGGGTGCTTGTTTCATCCTGTTCTGCAGAACTCTATGCCGAAATGCGTCAAAACAAATGGTTCTGGGTCGCTTTCGACACGCACGCGGCGACGCGCGCATGTGGCCCGTATGATGTTATCTGATACGGATTCGTGCAGCGGGCGCATGCTAGATCCACGCGGATGCACCGCGTGGTGGAATGAAAATGCGGCTTCTGGACGAGATTGTTAAAAACAGATGGTTGTTATGTGATTTCAGCAAGTACGTGCGGGCAGAAAATCCTAAACTTCCCTGCCCTTTGGTTTTTTCTTGTTGTCTAAGGAACTGAGCCTATGCGTCGGTGCGGCTATGTAGTCGCCGTCGCCGACCCGTCGCCGCCTCGTCGCCAACCATCGTCTGACCCTGTGCGTCCACCTGCCGGCTATGTTGTCGCCGTTGCCGCCCGTCGTCTGGGCCTGTCGGCCCGTCTGGCGGCTATGTTGTCGCCGTCGCCGCCCCGTCGCCGCCGTCGCCGCTCTTCGCCACCGTGACGCTTTGCATTTGCGTTACGTTACCTGGAGATGCCTTATCTGCATTGATTTGCGTCGCATTGCGCTGCATTGCGTTGCGTTGAACTGCTTCGTGCTGATTCGCGTTGAGATACATGGCATTGTCTTGCGTTGTACTGCACTAGTTGAACGATGTGCATTGACTTGCATTGCGTTGCATTTTTGTGCACCACAAAGATTCTCCTTTCTCAGACTCTAAGCCCCCCCCCGGCGCTATCGGTCCCCATTTCGGGTATGTAAACCACATATGATTCCGACCACATGTCCATCCTAAACATGAAATCACAATGTTCCAGGGGGGCCGGGTTCCCCCCCTGAGGTTCCTTTGTTAAAAAACACTATGCGGTGACATTTGCTGTTCTAACATGGCATTTGTTCACGAATCCCTTGCAAAAAACGGGACGAAGTGCACACGCGCGCGTCGTCGCGCGCGCATGCCGGAATCCTTCAAAAACCTTCGGTGCCGCAAGGATTTCGCAATCGAGCTTCCAGAAAACATACAAAAACACATGGTTTCGCAACACTGGTGTGCTAAGAAAGCTTCCGCGCGAGCTCTTGCGAAATCTTAAGAAAACCATGCGTTCTTCAAGATTTTCACAAAATGCTACCAAACGGGCTTCGCGCGCGCATGTCGAGATCTGTCGAACGCCCTTGCGCGTGTGCCGTCGCGAGAATCCTCTGCAAAAAAACGGAGCGAATTGCAGACGCGCGCGTCGTCGCGCGCGTACGCCGGGAACCTTCAAAACTCATCGGTTTCGGAAGGATGTCAAAATCGTGTCCAAAAAAACCTACAAAAACACAAGGTTTCGCAACATGGATTTTCAACAAAAGCGTGCGCGCGCGCTCTTGCGTCGTCGTCGTCGTCGTCGTCGTCGCCGTCCTCCCTCCTCCCGCGTCGTCGTCGTCGTCGCCTACGTCGTCCTCTGTCTTTCCTCGTGTTCGTCGTCGTCGTCCTCTTTGGCGTCGTGGTCGTTTCCGTCGTCGTTGTCACCGTGGTCGTCCTTCCTCCTCCTCCCTCGTCGTCGTCGTCGTCCGTCGTCAGCGTCTCGTCGTCGTCCCTCCTATTTCGTCGCCGTCGTCGTCGTCGTCGTTGTCGTCGTCCTCTTCCCTCCTCCCTCGTCGTTGTCGTCGTCAGCGTCGCCGTCCTTCCTCCTTCTTCGTCGTTCGCGTCGTCGCCGTCCTCCCTCCTCCATCGTCGTTGTTGTCGTTGTCGTCGTTGTCGACGTCGTCATCCTTCCTCCTCCCTCGTCGTCGTCTTCGTTGGCGTCGTCGTCGTCGTCTTCGTCGTCGTCGGCGTCGGCGTCGCTGTCGTCGTCGAAGTCGTCGGAGACGTCGTCGGTGTCGTCGTAGTCGTTGTCGTCGGTGTCGTCTCAGTTGGTCTTAAGAGGTTTTACGAACCAAGTTGCGGGTGGGTGGGTGGGATGTTCGCAAGAGCGTGGGATGTGTCAAATCATGGGTAAAAATCAATTGCGCAACATAGACTGCACCACATAAATTGCAATATGTGTTGAGATATACTTCTACAGAAAGCAACATACATTGCACCACCTGTATTGAACAGCATACATTCTCCTTTCTAAAAAGGGAATAGACTCTACCCCCCCCCCCGGCGTTATCCGCCCCCCTTTCCGGGTATGTAAATCAGATATGAGTCTGACCACATGTCCATCCTAAATATGAATTCGCACTATCCCAGAGGGGCCCGGATCGGTCCCCCTGAGGTTCCCTGGTAAAAAAAAACGATACGCGGGGACAGTTTGTGCTCTAACATAGCACTTGTTCACGAATCCCGTTTGTAAAAAAACGGGACGAAGTGCGCACGCGCGCGTCGTCGCGCGCGCATGCCGAAATCCTTCAAAAACCGTAGGTGTCGGAAGGGTTTCGCAATCGAGTTTCCAAAAAAACATACAAAAACACATGGTTTCGCAACACTGGTGTGCTAAGAAAGCTTCCGCGCGAGCTCTTGCGAAATCTTAAGAAAACCATGCGTTTTTCAAGATTTTCACAAAATGCTACCAAACGGGCTTCGCGCGCGCGCATGTCGAAATCTGTCGAACGCCCTTGCGCGCGTGCCGTCGCGAGAATCCTTTGCAAAAAAAACAAACGAAATGCAGACGCGCGCGTCGTCGCGCGCGTATGCCGAAATCCTTCAAAACCCGTCGGTTTCGGAAGGATTTCATGGGGGCCGACATGTTTCCCGATTTGTGCTGTCACTTGCGCAGGCGCACCTGACGCACTCTGCACGTGCCCCGAACGTGGCGCACCTGGCGCGGCTTGAATGTGCGGCACAGCTGGCGCACTCGGAGCACGTGGCGCATCTGGCGCACCAGGTGTGCCTGGCACGCTCGGGCCCAAGGGGTGTCTGGCGCGCGTGGCGCCCCTGGCACGCGTGGCGCACCTCGCCCAAGCGTCGCGCACCTGGGGTCGGCTTTGGTTCCCAGTAGCTGCCCATCTAAGAAAACGACCGCTGCACATGCTCAGGCTCGGGTGTTACTAATGTGTTGGGATGGCGGGTGGAAGTGAGCTAAACGACTTGCGGGCGGGTGGGTAGCTTGTCCCTCTCCCTACCCCCTCCCCTGGACCTGGAGGGGCGGTCCGCGAGACGTTGGAGCGTCCTAGAAGGCCCAAGATGGCTCCAAGAGGGCATCAGAGAGCCCAAGATGACCTCCGAGATGGCTCAAGATAGCCTAAGATCGTTTCCCAAGAGGCTCCTAGAGGCCCTAAGATCGCTCCAAGAAGGTTCCAAGTAGCCACGGAAACTCCCGGAGGACGCCAAAAGGCCAAAATTTGTCAAAAACCAATATAAAATCAATGAATTGTGACTTTTCGCCTTTTTGCTTTCAATGGCCTTCTGAGGCCTCAAGATGCCTCCAAGAGAGCCCGTGAGGGCTCCAAAAAAAGCCCAAAAGAGCCCCAAGACGGCCCCAAGAGCGCCCAGGAGCGCTCCAAAAGCGCCCCAGGAGGGGCCCAAGAGGCGATTTTGGAGGCTCCCGCAGGGGGGTCGCAATTGGAGTTCCCATGCGCATGAATCGATCTCCCCCAAGATGGCCCCAAGAGCACTCTCAAGGCTCCCAAGAGCGCCCAAGCGGCGCCAAGAGGCGCCCAAGAGGCGCCAGGAGGCGCCCAAGAGGCCTCCAAGAGGCTCACAAGAGACCCCCAAGAGACCCTAAGAGGCTCCCCGAGGCACCCAAGACGCTCCAAGAGGCCCCCAGGGCCGCCAAGAGGCACCCAAGACGCTCCAAGAGGCCCCCAAAAAGCTTCCAAGAGACATCCGAGGAGACTTTGAGAGACATTCAAGAGGCCTCTGGCCCTTCTGCTCATGTTTGTTCTTTCTCCTCCTCCTCTTCTTCCTCCTCCTCCTACTCCTCCTTCTCCTCCGCCTCCTACTTTGAAAAATCCGCCGACCCTGTGTCTGCGCGTGGAATAAGCTTTTCGCTCTGCCCCCACTGAGGCTTTCCTGTCTGCCCCCTCTTCGTCGTCGTCGTCGCTCCTTCCCCTTTCCCAGGCCTCCCCCTCAAGTGACGAAGCAAAAGGAAATTGAGCAATGTCGTAATCACAAAGAGCGCGTTTCTGTACGTTCGGCGATGACGGGCGTCATGGGGGGGGGAGAGGGCGGGGGGGGGTATGACGTGACGCCCCCCCCGCCGTGTGGCTCCGGCACCAAAGCCGCGCCCGCGCGCACGACGCGACGAGCGACGAGCGACGAGCGACGACGACGACGCGAGCAGCATGTAAGTGGCGATCTGCCCATTGCGCCTGTGTGCACCACAAAGCTCGCGTGCACCACACCGCGCGTGTGCACCGCAGCGCCTGCGTACACCGCAACAGCCGTGTGCAACGCACCGCCCGCGTATACCACAATACGTGGGAGCACTACAGGGCTGGTGTACATACACCGCAGAAGCCATGTGCAACACAACGCCTGTGTACACCACTGTGCCTGCGTGCACCGCAGCGCGCGTGCACGCCACAGCGCCTGTCTACACCACAGCATCCGCGTGCAACGCAGCGCTGGTGTACACCACAGTGCCTGCGTGCATAGGACAAGAAAGAGCATGTACGTCAGGATCTGCTGCGGACAACTAAACGCCACGCCAGGAAAGTTCTGAGAATCGAATGCGACGTTTTTCCCTCCTGCCTCCTCCTCCACCTCCTCTTCCACCTCCTCCTCCTCCTCCTCCTCCTCCTCCTCCTCCTCTTCCTCCTCCTCCTCCCCCTCCTCCTCCTTACCCCCTGTCGTGCGGCTTGGCGTTACAACGCACGTGCGCATCTCAGCGTGCACCGCAGAATGGTCGATTGAATCGGCCCACTTGGTTCTCGGACGGCCAGTTTAGCTGGAGCCTCCTGGACGCAAGTGGGAGTTAGGGTGATGCGGGCGGACTGGGGGGGACTCGTAGATTCCAGCGGCGCTCCTTCGTCCATGAGGATTTGTGTTCCATTGTTTCCTCTGGAATCCACACGCGCTCCATTTTGTCACAAGGAGTCCTTCTGAAATTCTATACACAACACTGGTGCTGTGTTGCACACGGCTGATGTGGTGCACACAGGCGCCGTGGCGTACACAGGCACTGCAATGCACGCAGGCATTGTGGTGTACACTGGTGCTGTGTTGCGCACGGCTAATGTGGTGTACGGAGGCGCTGTGGTGTACACAGGAGCTGCTGTGCCCGCAGGCACGGTGGCACAAACTGACGCTGTGTTGCACGCGGCTGCTGTGGTGTACATCGGCGGTGTGGTGTACACAGGCGCTGTGGTGCACGCGGGCACTGTGATGTACACAGGCGTTGTGGTGCATATCGCCACCTACATGTTCGTGCTACCCGTCCTCCGTCATTCCTAAGCATTCCCAGACGCCGCCGGCGCGAAACGTGACGTCATCGACCCCCTCCCCCCCCAGATGATTGCCGTCATCGGCCCGGACTGAAAAACAGGCTCCAGCCGCGTCCGCGCGCACGACGACGATGAGCGACGAGCGACGAACCACGAGCGACGACGACGGACGACGACGACGACGACGACGACGACGACGACGACGACGACGACGACGACGACGACGACGACGACTGCGGACCAGACACCTATGCGGATTCCTACGCGGACACCTACGCGGATCCCAATGCGCACGGCGGCAGTGCCCGGAGCGCACTGGGGGGGGGAGCGTTACGTCATAGGGGGGGGGGGAGCGGGGGCCATGACGCCCGTCATGCCCCAAGCAATAAAGAAACGGGCTCAAAATTGAGCCACGTCGTCATTGAGCCGAACGGAAGCCCATTCCCTATCATCCCTTCCCCGCCAGGACGGGGGGGTCCCGGGGGGGGTCCCGGGAGGGGTCTTGGGGAAGTCCGGGGGGGGTCCCGGACCAGATACGACGCCCCACCCCTGGGAATCCCGCGGCCCAACAAAGCCCCAGGACGAGACAAGAATGTCCCAAGAGATTCTCACGAGACCACGTCCTTCCTCCGTCAACATCTGCGGGCACCACTACCACCCCCGAGTCCCCCCCCCCCTCACAACTAACCCCCCTCCATTCCCCCCCTCCCCTGAGCATCTGCCTCCACCTCCTCCTCCCCATCCTCCTCACCCTCCTCTTCCTCCTCCTCCTCCTCCTCCTCCTCCTCCTCCTCCTCCTCCTCCTCCTCCTCCTCCTCCTCCTCCTCCTCATGCGGCTCCTCCCCCTGCTCGTCCTACTTTTCATCCATCTACCTCGTCGTGGTCAGCGTCCTCATCTTCAGGGTCGGGGGCACCGGCCGTAAGGTCTTCGAAATAACAGATGCCCCTCTCTTGCTCCCACACTTCCCTGATCACCTCAACTCTCCTGGGCAACGTTTCTGGGATGGTTCGGTGGGGATACGCGAAGCGTCAACACTTGCAATACGAAAAGGGGCACCGTAAATTCCGGGGGGGAGGGAGATTCTTTTTGGGACGGAGAGCCTACGTGGTGCAATTGATTTCTACGAACGAGTTAACACATTCCACGCTCTTGCAAACATCCCACCCAACCATCCGCAAATTGGTTTGCAAAACCCATGCGGTTGCGATTGCGGTGAGTGCTTGGAGTTGGCTGGTGCATCTCTGCGGCCGCGCCAACCCAAGCAAACGCGCGCAGCGGACAGTTAGTTTGGCGCGGCCGACGCGGCCGCGGTGGCGCTGACCGCTGGGCACATCCCAGCGGGCACTGCAGTGCGAATCGGCGACTGGGGCGGGCGCGGTATCATGGCAACGTCGACAACGGTAGACACGATGATGATAGTAGCGATGCTCTATTTACCCTCCTCCTCCTCCACCTCCCTACTCCCTCCCTCCCTCCCCCTCTTCCTCCTCCTCCTCCGCCCTCCTCCCTCCTCCCTCCTCCCGCCTCCCTCCCCCCTACCCCCCATTCCCTCCCACCCTCCTCCTCCAACTTCCAGGAAGCTCCGACAACGTACTCCTACCCCGCCTTCGCCTGAGGGAGAACGATCGGGGGGGGGGGGGGGGGGGGGGGGGGGCAATTCAGGGGGGGAAACATCGCGTTCGAATTGGAGGAAAGAGCTCAGGAAGAGGGGGGCAATATAGAAAAATGACAAAATGCAAAAACTTAACCTGCCAAAGGTCCGCGCGGAGCTCCGCATGTTTATGTTTAAGTCCCTTCCTCTTCTTCAGTATCGACTGACGGGGGGTGGTCGATGCATCCCCCCCTGAGCAGATCCTCTCGAACGTTGCCCCTTGGCTTTCGGTTAATAACTCGGCTCCACGGCTGCTTTCCGTGACGATTCTGGCACCCCCGGCACGCCCTTCGACGAGGCGCAGCACATGGAAAGCGCTCCGAGGCCGGAAAACAGCCGAGAACCGATGAAAACATCGGATGACCTCGAAGCTCGAAGGTCGAGGTTTTCGACCCCCCCCCCTGAGCGTATGCCCCCCCCGGCGTTGCCCCCGACCCCCGCCCGCCCCCGCGGCGGCGATCCGGGCCGTCGTCGCCCTGGGGCCACGCGAGCAGCCAGTCGGTGATGGCCTCCTCCTCGTCTGGCCGCTGGGGCCTCGGCGTCCCCACCAGGCCGCAGGCTCGTCCCCAGACCTCAACACACACTGGCAAGTTCCATCTCAAGGTTTTTCGTGGCTCTCGGCCTCGGCAGGTAGCGAAATCTGGACTCTAGCCCCACCAATCGTCGACTCTCCTGGATCGATGGGAGGCGGGGGTAGACTTCGCATTGCGCGTCGTGCTCGACTAATTCCGAACCCTACCCCAGCCGCCCATCGAGTTGCCTGAATCGTTGATCGGCGAAGGTGGGGTTCGGATGTCGCCGCCGACGCTGGCCCCGTGAATAATTATCTTGGCAAAGGACTCAACCATATGCAGTTGTGAGTACCGCCGTTGCGGGTAACGCCTTCGGGGATCTCCTCATGGGGCCATGAAGCATGCGCAGGATGTGCCGATGTGAGGCGGGGCCGCCATGTGGGCGCTGCCACTGGTGCTTCAGGCGGAGAGCACTACGGGGCCGCGAAAAGTGTGAGAGGTGCGTCGCAATGGGCCGGGCCCGCCACTGGATCCTTCAGTGGAGCTCCCTATGTGGCCACGAAACGCTGCACTGAGTGGGGGTGACGCATGCGGGCGGTGCCACTGGGGCCTTCGGTGGAGCTCCCTATGGGGCCACGAAACGCTGTACTGGTTGGGGGTGACGCATGCGGGCGATGCCACTGGGGCCTTCGCTGGAGCTCCCTGTGGGGCCACGAAACGCTGTACTGGGTGGGGGTGATGCGTGCGGGCGGTGGCACTGGGGCCTTCGGTGGAGCTCCCTACAGGGCCAAGAAGCGCTGTACTGAGTGGGGGTGACGCATGCGAGCGGTCCCACTTGGGCCTCCGGTGGAGCTCCATATGGGACCACCAAACGACATACTGGGTGAGGGTGGCGCATGCGGGCGGTGCCGCTGGGGCCTTCGGTGGAGCTCCCTATGGGGCCACGAAAGGCTACACTGGGTGGGGGTGACGCGCCACTGTGTGGGTAACGCATACAGGCGGTGCCGCTGGAGCTTTCGGTGGAGCCCCCTTATGGGGCCACGAAACGCTGTATGGGCTAGGGTGACATGTGCAGGCGGCGCCACTGGAGCCTTCGGGGCCACGAAACGCTGTACTGGGTGAAGGTGGCGCATGCGGGCGGTCCCACTGGAGCCTTCGGTGGAGCTCCCCATGGGGCCACGAAACGCTGGTGACGCATGCGGGCGGCCTTGGGTGGAGCTCCCTATGGGGCCACGAAACACTGTACCCGGAGGGGTTGGGTGATGATGCTGATGCTGATGATGATGGAGGAGGGAGGAGGAGGGGCAGAACGAAGGAGTAAGGGACGCAGGGCGCTGTCTCTTCAAAACGAGGACCCAACACCACATGATGGCCGGGAACAACGAATCAATATGCAACGCCGGTCCTGGAGAAAGGGTCGGGACTTCCAGGGGCACAAAAAAATTAGCCTGGCGAAGGACCCTACCATATGCAGTTGCGAGCACCGTCGTTGTATGCACCGTATTCGAAGGAGCTCCCTAGAGGGCCACGAAACGTGCGAGGGATGTGCCAAAATTTGTCCGGTGAGCGCATGCGAGAGCAGCAACTTGGGACGTCGGTGGAATAACTTATGGGACCACGAAACCCTGAGAGGTGTGCCGAAATAGGTGTGGTGGGCGCATGCGAACGCAGCCACTGGGGCCGTCGGTGGAACTCCCTATTGGGCCGCGAAACGTGTGAGGGGTGTGCCGAGATGAGTGCGGTGGGCGCATGCGAACGCAGCCACTGGCGCCTTCGGTGGAGCTCCCTGTGGGGCCACGAAACGCGTGAGGGGTGTGCCGGAATGGGCGTGCGTGACGCATGTGGGCGGTGGCACTGGGGCCTTCGGTGGAGCTCCCTATGGGGCCACGAAACGTGTGAGGGGTGTGTCGAAATGGGCGTGGGTGACGCATGCGGGCAGTGGAACCGGGGCCTTCGCTTGAGCTCCCTATGGGGCCTCGAAACGTGTGAGGGGTGTACCGAAATCGGTGTGGATGACGCATGCGGGCGGTGGCACTGGGGCCTTCGGTGGAGCTCCCTGTGGGGCCACGGAACGTGTGAGGGGTGTGCCGACATGTGTGGGTGACGCATGCGGGCGGTGGCACTGGGGCTTCGGTGGAGCTCCCTCTGGGGCCTCGAAACGTGTGAGGGGTGTGCCGAAATGGGTGTGGATGACGCATGCGGGCGGTGGAGGGGGGAGGGCGAGGAGGAGTGAGTGAGTGACGCGGGGCGCTGTCTCTGCAAAACGGGGACCCAACACCACAGGATGGTTGGGAAAACATCAGTGCAACAGATCTCTGGGTCGGGCTTCGTTCTCGTCGTCGTTTCCGTGGTTTTCGTCGTCGTCTTCGTCTTCGTTACGACGAGGCCAGGACTTGGACAAAATCGGAATGCACAAATCGGGAATCGCTGGAATCCCGGCGGTTCTGGGAGATGTGTCGGGCGCCGCGGCCGTTCCCGAGCGCTCCCGAGCGCTCTGAGATGGTTCCAGACCGCTCTGGAACGACTTGTCGCGGTCCTAGCCCCGCGCGACGAGACCAGGCCGCTGGCTGTCGGTCGTCGTCATCGTCGTCGTCGTCGTCGCCGTCTCTCCAGCCGCCGCGGCACACGAGTCGTGCCGCTGGGCCGCTGCGCGCGCCCGCCATGGCTCCGACGCTGGCGGCGACGGCGTGCCTCTCGCCTGCGCTGGTCGCGCGGACGCAGGGTGGCGCCTTCGCTCGTGGTCCGTAAAAGCGGCCGCTGAGCGCGGCCCTGGAGCTGGTGAGGGTGGAGGCGTGGGCCACATGGCCGTTGAGTTCGCTGCGCGCGCTGCCGAGGCGTTGTCGCGGCTTCGCCGATGGGTCTTGTGCGGCTGGTCCCCCGGCGCTGGCGCGTGTGCCGCCTCCCGCGCTGCAGGCGGCCCCGGCCTGCGGCTCCACATGGTCGTGCAGGACGCGCCGCACCGCCCGCACATCATGCTCGGGGTCGAGGCTCCCTCTACTTCGCCGGCCTTGTCGTGAAGATGAAGGTTCGTAAGCCCTTTCGACGGTTCGGGGTGAGTGTCCTTAAACCCCCCGCCTCTCCAGGCGTGCCCCTGCCCGACGCTCAATCGTCGGCGTGCGGGGGGCCCACGGTGGACGTGCCCGACCTTCCCCTGCGATCCCATTTGAGGGGAGGGGTGGCGAGGGCGGCCGTGGGAGCTGAGCGTCACGTAGCTAAGCGATCTGGCCGCCAGCCTGGCGGCAATGCACCCTCTGGGGCCGGGTTACAAAAAAGTCGCCGTCATCTCTCCGTCGCTGTCGTCGTCGTCTCTCCGTCGCTTCCGTCGTCGCTTTCGTCGTCGAGGGTCCAGCCGGAGAGGCCTCCTCCTCCTCCTCCTCCTCCTCCTCCTGCTCCTCCTCCTCCTCCTCCTGCTCCTCCTCCTCCTCCTCCTCCTCCTCCTCCTCCTCCTCCTCCTCCTCCTCCTCCTCCGCCTCCTCCTGCTCCTGCTCCTCCTCTTCTTCCTCCTCCTCCGCCTCCCGCGGGCGTGCGAGGCGTCCTGGAGCGGCGAGCGCGGGCCGGCAAGGCGCGGGGCCGGCGAGGCGCGGGGCCGTGTGGTTTCGGCTCGGGGGCGCCCTGCGACGGCGTGTTGCAGCAGCAGGGAGGCACGGGGGGAGGGGAGGGGAGGGGAGGGGAGGAGGAAGGGGAGGGGAGGGGAGGGGAGGGGAGGGGAGGGGGGGGAGGGGAGGGGAGGAGAGGAGAGGGGAGGGGAGGGGAGGGGAGGGGGGGCAGACGGGCTCCGGGCGGGGGTGGCCTGTGAAAAGGGTGGCCCAGAAACAGGAGCAGCGGGGGGGGGGGGGAGCACAGGTCGCAGGGGGAGCAGAAGGAGCCGTAGCAGGAATCCCTGCGCGGGAGCGGCGCTGGGGCCCCTCGGCGGCCTTCGGCGCCCCTCGGCGGCCGCGGCCGGGGCCTGATCTTTTTCCAGACTGTGTCCTCTGGCTTCAGCACGTGGTCGTGCGGCACCTCCCTGCGCCCCCACTTCGTCTCCCACCACCTTGCGCGGGGAGGACTTTTTGTCGCTGCTCTTTCCGTGCCGCCGACGTCGACGTCGGCGGCATTCGGAGCGGCGGCAGCGTCGAACGCGATGACGCCCCGCCCCTCCCAGGGCCCGAAATCTGACCGAAATCGGCTGGCTTCAGCACAAAACGCCGACTCCAGCATCCCGGCGATGGTGGAGCTCGGCGCCCACCTCATCTGCTGGTCTGGCAGCTTCTCGATGATCCTATAATTGTTGTTCTCGACGTCCGCCACCTCGCACCGGTAGCAGGGTATGCCGTCGCTGAAGCTCTCCTGCACCTGCAGGTGGCCAGCAAGAGAGAGCACAGAGGCCACACGGACTGCTCGGTCCACCGTCCTGGAGCTAGAGGTCTTGGTCATAGCGTAGCCTTGACAGCCCTCGGCCCAGAATCGGCTTCAAGTGTGAGGCTCACTCCACCCGCCCTTCGTCGTCAGGTCCGCGACACCAGACGTCCTGATTACAGCATGCTTTTAGCATCCCTTGGCCCAAAATCGGCGTTGTGATCACGGCTCATTTCGCCCGCCCCTCGTCGTAAAACTCGTGACAATATGCTCGTTGCATCGTTTCATCTCGTTTCGGGTCCCCCGACCACTGTTGGGCACCGCGCCTGCCCTTTTCCGCCGAGCCGCGTCCAGCTGTGGCCAGGCGGGGGACCTCCGAGAGGAGGACAAGGAGGGAAAGGGTACGTGCGCACCCGCTTGTTTCCCTATATCTTTATGCTATAAAAAACATTGCGAAACATGCGGGTGTCCATTTCAGGGGGTCCCGCGGTCCCCCGCTTGGTTCCCAATACTCGTACAGCGTATAAAAATTGAGAAGCAAGCGGGTGACCCCCCCCCGTTTGGGCCCCCCCGCCGCTTGTCAGGCCCCTACAGTGGCCCCCCTTCCTGGGCATTCCGAGTGTTGGGAACCAAGCGGGTGACCGCTGGACGCCCTTGAAAGGGTCACCAGCTTGTTTCCCAATATTCGGGAGGCCCAGGGCGAAGCCCGAGCCGCTCTGGTATTGGGAAGCAAGCGGGTGGCCGCTGGACCCCCTTCCATGGTCGTTCGGGTGCCTTTGGGGGCATCGTTTGGGCCCGTTGGGGGTCTCTTGGGCCCTCTTGGGGGCCTGATGGCAGTCTCGGGGGCCCCCTTGGGGCGGAGGGCTCGAAATGTAAACTCGAGTTCCCCCTCTTGGACCCTCTGGGGGCCCTCTGAGGGCCCTCTTAGGCCGTCTTGGGCGCTTCTTGTGCCGTCTTGAGGCCCTCATGGGGGCCTCTTTGGCAGGCCTCTTGGGCCGTCTTGAGCGCCGTGAGGCCGAAAAGTACCATGTGCTAAAGTGTAGATTTGTTGATGGGAATGTGACGAGTGCTACCTCTTGGAACCCTGTTGAGAAGGCTCTTGGAGGCCTCTTAGGGCGTCTTGGAGGCCTCTTGGGCCGGCTGGAGGCCACCTGGAGCGTCTTGGACCGATCACTCGGCGACTCGGAGCCCTCTTGGACCGTCTGGAAGGCCTCTTGGAATCCTCTTGGCCCGTCTTGGGGCCCTCTTTGGACGTTCTGGGGCCGTCCGGGACCCTCTTGGGGCGAGCTGGAGTCAGCCTCACCGCCGGGCCCGAAATCAAGGCGGACCCATGTTCGTTGCACACAGGTGCTCCATGTCTCTGCCACCGTGCCTCGGGGCACGGAGTGAACGTCTCCTCGGGTCCTCTGCCAAATCCCTGGAGCCTCAGCTGTCAGCCCAGATGAGTTTTTGAGGGCCCGACCCAAAATTCCTAAACCTGGCTGGGTTCCCGGCATGCCCCCCGGGGCGCGTCGCGTGCCCTCTGGGCTCCAGGAAGTGTTCTCGCACGACTTTTGCAGGGCCGGGAGGCCCCAAGACGGGCCAAGAGGGCCCAACGAGGCCGCGAAGACTGTCCAAGAGGATCGCCTTTTCGGCTTTCCGACGCTCCAAGACGGCCCACGAGGCCCCCAAGACCACCCCTAATTGGCCAAAGAGGCCTCCAAGAGGGCCCCCAGACGGCCTAAGAGCGCCCCAAGACGGCCCAGGAGGCGCCCAAGACAGCCCAAGAGGGTCTCAAGACAGCCCCAAAAGAGACCCAAGAGAGGGACACGAACCGACAATCCGAGCCTTCCGCCCCAGAATGCCCCCAAGAGGCCCAACGAGGCGCCCAGGAGTTCCCAAGAGGCCCCCACGAGGCCCCTAGGAGGCCCCAAGAGCCCAACAGAGCTCCCAAGAGGCCTCCAAACTGAGTCCAAGAGGCCCCCGAGAGGCCTCCCACGAGACCGCAACGAACATCAAATAAGCTTCATACACACAGCCCAGGCACGGTGGCGGGATGGGCCGAAAGCCATCAGAATTGCACAGCTATATACCAGCCGACACGCTAATCTTATGCAAGCAGGCGCGCGGATGTTCCCGTTCCTGGAGGAGGGAGGAGGAAAAGGAGGAGAAGGAGGAGGAGGAAGATGTTTTGTCAATGCCGCAGCAGCGCTCGGTTCACGTAACTCACCTCAAGCTGGCTCATGCCAATGCCGCGGGAGTTGTAGTGAAACGGCGGCTTGCCATTGGCCAGCGGCTGCGCCCCTCTGCAGAAGACCTTCTGGAGCGTGCTGCCGCTCACCGCGAACGTGTCCAGGAGGCGCTCCATCATCTCGGTGCGGTCCGCGATCCAGAACAGCCAGGCCGTCTGGTTCAGTCCCTTCAGGTACTCCTTTCCCAGACCGAAGAAGGTATAGTGGATCTCCATGTCTAGGGTCCGGATCTTCATCAGGGCCTCGGAGTCCGACAATAACCACCTGATCTGTTCCCACTCCGAGCCCTCGATGTCCACCTTCATATGGACGCTGAGCTCACCGTGGGGCGCCAGCAAGCTGGCGAGCGTGGTGGCCGGGCGTTCGCCGAGATGTGTGGGCACCACGTCCCCGTGGGTGCTGAGGCACACCCTGTTGACAGAGTACGGCGCCTCGTAACAGATACCAAAGCGACCCGAGCATTTCTGAGATTTCCCTCTCGTCAGGTTGAGAGCATAATTCTCCCCACCTCGGCACCTGTTGCAGAAAGGCCCCTCGTTGTCCTGCGGTCTGCCGGTGCTTCCGTAGAAACAATCGAAGAGGTGTGTCGGTAAGTGGAGCCTGTTGCTCATATACTCGGACCAATGGTCCCGAGTGTAGATCCCGAAGGAATATCCGACTAGCGGCGTCTTGTTGCCGCCGCTGGTCAGGGCCTCCTCGCACCAGGTGTAGTCGTAGGTGGAATGGAAGCCGCCGCACTCCCGCTCGGTCAGCGTGGCCCGGAACGCGTCCGCGGCGCGGTCGCCGAGGTCGGCCATCGGGCGATTGATCTCCACGGGCCAAGGCCACGCGCCCTCCGGCGTAGGCGCGGAGCCCGGGCAGGATCTCGAAGGGCCGCGCGGGCCGCGCTCCTTGGTCGAGCATGCGCACTTGGCGGCCAGCCTGTCCAGTGCCTCTCGGTCGCGCGGCTGCTCGTGCGCGCGCCGCACCCAGCGTCCCGCGAGCAGCGCGCCGCCGGGGCCTCCGAGCTTCCCTGCAGCCCCGACGCCCTGCTCAGCGGCACGGGGTGCCCGTCCGGTGGCTGGCACGCCCTGCCCCGCGCCGCCGCCAGGATCGGCCACTGGCTCGGGGGCACCGTCAGGTCGCCGCAGGAACTCAGCGCGCGCGCCCGCGGCATCCCAGCCGCTGGCCCACAGCCTGACCACGCAGACGATCACGAGCAGCGCGCAGAGCCCTATGCCGAGCCTCGTGGCGCGCCTCATGGCGACCCTGCAGGCGGGGGCCCTGCGGGCGACGGCCGTGCCCTCCGCCCCCTATGCGGCGGCTGCGGCGGCCAGGGCATCTCGGCTGGCCACGGCTTGAGCCAAAATGGCTACGGAGGAGGAGAAGAAGCAACAGCAAAAGAGAGAGGAGGGGAAGCACAGAACTCCCACACCGTGATTTCGACCCCGCCCCGCTCTTTCGCCGCAGCCTGGTGGCTTTGCTGCAGGTCCCAGGGGCCCCGCAAAAACGGCCCCCGCAAGCACAGCTCGAGGACAGAGCACCGTCCGCCGCGGCCAGGCTCCCGGAAAGCTTCGGGGGAACGGCGGCTCCCGGGGGGGTCGTCGTGAGAACGGCTGCGAACTGGTACTCGGCGGCGCGCCGCCGGGTGGAAGGCAGAGCAGGCGGGCCTCCTCAGAAGGCTTAGAAGGCCTCGGACCTTCTGAGAAGCTCTCGCTTCTCAGAAGCCCGGCCGCCTTCTGAGAAGCCCTACCCCCGCTCACTTCCCCCCTGGGCTCGCCGCCGAATAGCGCGAGCCCGACTAAATGGTGATACTCAACAGATTTGAGCAGGATCAGGCCCAGGATTAGGCCAGATTAGGCCTCATCAAGCGGGATCCGGAATGAGCGGGATCATAGATCCGCGGATACGCCAGCGCCGATGTCAAATCCAACCTCCCAGGAGCTGCAACCGTGCTTCTTCACGACGCCTCGAGATCTGGGAGGAGGCCTGGGCGGTCTCAGCTCCGCCGCTGTGTTGAAATCAAAATTCGCAACATGGGCCCCTGGAGGTCTCGACCGCTTCCTCGGGGACCGAAAGGTTTCCCGACGGCCTTGGAGCCTGGCGAAGGCTTCTGGAGGCCGAAAATTGCCAGAAACCTTATGCGATGACTTTGACGGGCGGGAAAATATTTGTTGAAAGAAAACTTCGAGCAGCAACTCGGGCCTCCGGCGGCAGTTCGGACCCCAGAAAGCTCTCGGCGAGGCGCAGCCGCTGGAAAGCATCCCGAGGCAAGAAAAACTCTAAGAACCAACGACAACATACGAAAACCGTCCGCCGCATTACTCTCCACGACGCGAGTGGGTGGGAGGAGGGGACGCAGAATGACATACTAGTATCATGCGCCCCCCGTTCTGGAGGCGCACGCCCGAACCGAACATATAGCACAAGCACCGTACAGCACATCGTCACACGGGCGGTACAACCAGAAAGCGACCGCCACCCATCACATGCTGTGTACTCCTGAGCGCGCGCACGTCGCCCCTGGGGGCCGACCCACACAAAACATGGCATGCTCGATGGGGGAAACGGGTCCTGAGGGAAACGGGTCCTGGACCCTGTCGGGGGCGGCCAAGAGGGGGGCGTCCATGAGGGGGGGCGCAAATCATGGCCGGCGGCACGTGCGCGGCCCAAGGGGGGGGCCAAGGACGTAACGAAATAAGAAGAGGCGGCATGAAATCTGGGGAAATATCATGGCCCACGCCATGATATCCACCCCCCCTAGTCATCACCCCCTCTTAGCCTTAGCCGCCCCCGAAGATTTTCACCCTGAGTCGTTTTCTCACGGTCCCGTCAGGACTGGTTTCCATCTGGACCCGTTTCACCACGGCGACGAGAGGAGGTCTCCGACCTGTTCGGCTTCGGAGCCGGTCAGGTGGTCGTTCTTGGCCACGTACTGCCTTTCGAAGACCGGCCGGTCGTCCTCCGGCCAGAGCCACTCCTGCGCGGAAGAGGAGGAGGATCATATAAGATAAGACAAGATAAGCTTAGACAAGCTATGATTTATGATAAACAAAGATAAGATAATCTAAGATAAGACATGAAAAGATACGACCGTATAATATACTATAATACAATATGAATACACGCAACATAAATACACATGCGTGGCACTGTGTATTTACATTGCGTGTACGCATGGCGTTGCGTAGTTACGTGGTGGTTACGCGTGGTGTTGTGTATTAACGTTGTGTGTATGCGTGGTGTTGTATATTTACGTTGTGTATATGCGCGGTGCTGCGTATTCACGTTGAGTATATGCGTGGTGTTGCGTAGTTGCGTTGCGTATATGCGTGGTGTTGTGTATTTACGTTGCGTGTATGCGTGACGTTGCATATTTACGTCGTGATTACGCGTGGTGTTGTGTGCTTGCGTTGTGTATATGCGTGGCGTTCTGCATTTACGTTGTGCATAAGCGTTGTGTTGTGTATTTACAGTGAATAAATGCGTGGTGTTGTGCATTTGCGTTGCGTATATTCGTGGTGTCGTGGATGCGCGTTGCGCGTATGCGTGGCGTTGCATACGTACGTCGTGGTTACGCGTGGCGTTGTGTGTTTACGTTGCGTATATGCGTGGTGTTGTGTGTTTACGTTGTGTATATGCGTGGTGTTGTGCATGTACGTTGTGTACTTGCGCGGTGTTGTGTATTCACGTTGGGTATATGCGTGGTGTCGTGTATTTACGTTGAGTATATGCGTGGTGTTGTGTATTCACGTTGCGTGCACGCGTGGCGTCGCATATTTACGTCGTGTTTGCACGAGGTGTTGTGTGCTTACATTGTGTATTTGCGCGGCGTCGCATATTTACGCCGTGTTCGCGCGTGGTCTTGTGTGCTTACGTTGTGTATATGCGTGGTGGTGTGTATTTGCGTTGTGAATATGCGTGGTGTTGCGTATTTACGTTGTGTAGATGCGCGGCGTTGCATATGTACGTCGTGTATATGCGTGGTGTCGTTTATTTACGTTGTGTATATGTGCAGTGATGTGGAGTCACGTTGTGTATATGCGTGATGTCGCGTATTTGCGTTGCGTATATGCGTGGTGTTGTGTATGTACGTTGTGTATATGCGTCGTGCTGTGTATTTACGCTGCGTATATGTGTGGTGTATGTACGTTGTGTGAATGCGAAGTGTTGTGTATTTACGTTGTGCATGTGCGTTGTGTTGTGTATTTACGTTGTGTATATGCGTTGTGTTGTGTATTTACGTTGTGTATATGCGTGGCGGTTTGTATTTACGTCGTGTTTATGCGTGGTTGTGTGTATTTGCGTTGCGCACACGCGTCGCGCTGTGTATTTATGCTGTGCATATACGCTGCGAATTTACGTTGAATATATGCGTTGCGCTGTGTATTTGTGCTGCGTATATGCGTCATGTTGTGTATCTACGCTGTGTATATGCGCTGTGCGTTTACGTCGTGTATATGCGTGGTGGTGTGTGTTTACGTTGTGTATATGCGTGGTGTTGTGTATTTACATGGTGTATATGCGCGGTGCTTGTTGTGCATGCACGTTTCGCGCATGCGTTTTCACGCTGTGTATACGCGTGGCGTCGTGCATTCGCTTTGCGTATATGCGTGGTGTCGTGTATTTGCGTTGCGTATATCCGTGGTGATGTGTGTTTACGGTGTGTATTAACGCTGTGTATTACGCATACTCACGTTGTGTGATTACGGTGTGCGTTAACGCTGCGTTCTACGCAGGGTTAAACTTTTGTTTTGATTGGTTCGTGAAAACCACCAGGCAGCGCCCACCAAAAATGCGCGCAGAAGCATATGCACATAAATGCCGAATGGCAAATTAATTCACTTTTGCGCCGGGAAAACCTCTTGCCAGGGACAGAGCCATCGGCGCCAAACTTGGGGCCACCCCAGCAATGGACCGATAGCCTGCACCACGGCCCGCGAGAAAAGACGCGGCTCGGGTCGCACCAAGCAGCCGCCTCTAGCCACGCCCGGCGGCTAAGACATCCCAACGAATCAGACTGCACTGCCGCTCGCGAAACCCCCTGCCTGAGCAGGTGGGCAGCGCTCACCAAACTGCGCACAATACGCACATGCAAATAAGAGCCGAATGGCGAATACATTCGAACGCGGACGGAAGCAGACACGCGCTGGGAGAACCTCGCACCAGAGGGACAGAGACGTCGGGAAGTTTCTTGGGGCAACCCCAGCAATGAACCGATCGCCTGCACCTCAGCCCACGAGAAAAATGGCCACGGGCGCGACCAAGCAAACGCCATTAGCCACGCCCCGCGGACCGCGGCCCGAGGGGCACAGCAGGATCGACGCGATCCTGCGCGAGGACCCGATAGACATTCCCATCGGGTCTGTTGACATTTGTTTGCAAGACGAGTGAGCACCTCCCCACAGTGGGCGGAGACCTAAGATGGACACGGCCCGCCCGCGTTCGCAACGCGAGCGGGCGCGAAACAAGCACAGCACAGGCATCCAACCACGAGAGGGCCCCCTTGCAACTGTAGCCTAACGAGGGCATGCATTTGGGACCCCGCCCCCAACTTCGCTTGCGCGGCGAGAACCCGACTAACCACATCGTTGCGAGCGGGGTCACTGACCAACTGCAGATCGGGAACCGGCGGGCCCCCACGGTTGCGCCCCCACAGGCGCCCGCAGTCCGCCAGCTCATCCCCAAGACACACAACCCGAGAAACCAACGCATTGAGGACGGGCCTGCAGCTGAGAGGGGAGTGCCTTGGTCGAGACTGGCGGAAACAGCCGCGCTCTCGGCCGCCGCATCCGCCCTGGCATTACCGTGTCCATGGCGTGCCGCGGCGCGTCTAAACTGAAGGTAAACCACTGTCGCATGCCCCTTTATCTTGACAACTTCAACGCCCCCAGCCCCAGTCGTCAACCAGCCTCCAAAACTGCCTCCAAAGGTGCGCGCGAATGGATGCACACGCACAGGCGGCCCCACGGCCACGCCCCAGAAACCCGCCAGCCACGAAGGCCGGGTCGGGGAGGAGGCGGACAGGCGGGGACACAAAGCGAAGAGCATGGATAACTGCCATGAGCTCATCAACGGCAGGCCGGCGCGGCGTCACAGCCCGCCGCCCACAGCCTCTTCTGAGGCAACTCTCCTCCCACAATGGCGCTGCCAAGGTGCCTTTGTCGCTGCGCGGCCAGCCATCTCGTCGCCCGGCAAAGCCTCCAGGGGGCCAAAGAACACACCATGGGGGAACTATCTTGCACGCGATGATCTGAAACATCGCACGCCTGCCAGCCGCTCTGAACACAAGCTCCTGAATGGCGTCGGCGCAGAAGTCGGACGGGTTGACGTCAGCCCCATCAGGGCAAATCCAAGACGCAGCCGACGCAGCAGCGATACCCACGCGCCTGAGAGTGGCCCACAGAACACAGAAGGGCCCCCCCAATGGAAGACCAGGGGCGCTGCAACGCAGACAGGTGCCCAAGGGCCTCACGGAGCCCAAAGTCAAAAGCCCCCCAAGGCATCCAAAGGTGTCAGAGAGCGCGCAGATAGGCGGTAGATGGGGCCCAGGCGGGGAACGTTTTTTTGACACAACAGAAAATGAGAGCCCACGCGAGCTCAGCCACCGCGGGCCCGGGCGAAGGTTCTCCGAGCCCAAGCCGCTGGAGGGGGCCATGACGACAACCAACTTGCCACCACTTCTCCCACTCAGCCTCGAGGCCATCGATCGACTCGAGCGAGGTGCAAGGTCGCAGGGCACCATGACAGAGGGTCGAAGACTGCCGGGGGCCAGGGACAGACGAGAAGCGATAGCGGGCCGACATTCCTCCAACCGAATGCGCGTCAACCACCCGCCCCATTTTCCCTCCTTGGCCCGCGCGTAGAGGCGGCGCTGGTTCTCGGCCCCCTCGCCCGCAAAGCCGGCGAGGCAGCGAGCCGCAGACGCCGGCGGAGGAGACGCTGTCGCAGCATTGCCAACCAGGCGGCATAGACGGCAGCGCCCGGAAGCCGACAAAACCGCGAAAGACGACCCGCTGCGGCAACCAACTGAGATCCGCGCGAGCCCGTCGGCTCACGAATGGAATCTGCCAGAATGCCCCAGACCTTCCGCCACCAACGCACAACGGGCGAAATCGTGGGGAACTTGGGCGGGGCAGGGGAAAACGTGGATTCCCACCAGATTTGCAGGGGCCTGTCTCTGCCCACAGGCCCGAGCAGCTCCCCCCGAAGATCTGGCGAATGGCAATGCCACTGGGCCTCAGCAGCCCTCAAGAACGCGCCCCATCAACCCTGGATGAGCCGCTCGGGGCCGGCGCGCCACTGCCCGACATGGCCCCGGGGATCAGCGTCGGGAGGGGGGGGGGGGGGGGCAGACGCAATGGGCGGCCCAAAGGTGGAACGCTTGGGAACCTGAACGAACCCGACCTGACACAAGGGCACCATAGAGGGCAGAACGAGCCTGACAAGAAGGTGAAGAGAGATGGGAATCCCCTGAACAACTCCCGCCCTCGCGCGACTTGCAATCTGGCGCGACGCAACAAAGTAGTCGACGCAGCGCGCGGCAGGCCTGCAGGCGCCGCGCTCGGAAGAGACGAGCGCGGCATCCAACGCATCTGCCCGCGCCGTCTAGCGCGGGTCCTCCGCCGCGAAATTCAAACCGCCACCGGCGACCAAGGGCGCGCTCAAGGCCTTGAGCCGAGCGCCGATCTTGGAGAGGATGGCCCAGCCATGCTAATCAATGCCGACAGAGTGGACAAGATCAACATTCGCGATGGCGAAGCCACCGCGGAGGAGGCCGCAAACGCGAGGCATCGACACCCGAGCAGGTACCACATGGCAATCGAAATGCTCAAACTTGGCCGGTCCAATACGCCCCGCCGTCGAAGTGACCAGGCCCCATGAAGGATTGCCGAGCATAGGCCGAGCCGCACGCGCAGAGGCTACCCAACCTGACTTGCGCATCTTGCTTTCCAGAGACTCGGAGGCAAGCTGCAACACACGCGACTCTTGCAACAGCAAAGCATCACAATAAATGGCTTCGTCCAGGAAGGCGTCGAGCCCGACTTGGCCTCCGACATCGGCCGCGATGATAGACCACTGCTTAGAACGCCAGACGCAAAATTCACGACGCTGAGTCGGGGTCGACAAACGGGGCGGCTTTGAACTTCTTGGGCGCAGCATCGCTAGAGCCTCGAAGAACGTTGTCACACTGATTCCTGGACAGACCCTTGGACTGCAAAAACTCCCCCCGGCCATCACCCGAGGCGAGACGCTGAAGGAAGGAAGAAAACTGTTTATCACCAGGCTGGCCGCCGACAACACCCCGCGCTCCTCCGCCGCCCCCGCCCCGAGCCCCCCCCCCCCCGCAAGGCACAGGGGTTGCAGGCTCAGCACCGTCGGCGAATGGCGAGGCAGCCGCGCCGAGGCCATCTCCTCCAAAGATTGCCTGCGCTGCTGCCTCGATGGATAGTTCGGGCAACGGATAGTGCACTGGCTGCGGCTCATGGGCGTCGACCATACCGCCGTCGCCACCGAGCTCGTCGCCGTCGTCACTCTCGCCATCGGAAGAGGCAGGCTGCAGAAGACCAGCGCGAGTGGCCATGAGCGAACGAAGGGAAGCAGCCAACTTGCTGTCGAGCGCCTCGAACTGCATGAGGAGAGCGAAACCAGCACCATCAGGAGACTCAACGACACCACCGCGCTGGGCAGCAGACCGTCCAACCACCGAGCCGCTGACCGCAGTCCACGCTGCGGTGGCTTTCGCGGCGAGGACCCTCTCGTTCTCCTGCAGCTGCTCGAGCTTACCCTTGAGGCGGACCAGTTCCCTGAACTTGTCCTGCACCTCCTTGTCGAGCTTGTCAGCCTTCTGCTCAGCTTGGAGCAATTCACGTTTCGCCTCGTCGTACGCCAATTGCGCGTGCCGAGCCACCGCCTTGGGGTCGCCAGCAGCCAACGCGCGCTGAACTGCGACACGGGCGCGCTGGCTGGGCCCCAGGATGGACTTGGCGGACTCGAAATCTTCTCTGGACATATAAACAAAGACTGCGAGCTGCGTGGTGTCGTGCATTTTGTGTTTGGGTTTGCCTGCCTTGGGCGGCCCATTGGCCCACTCTCCTTGCGCTGGCCTCTGACGAGGAGAAGCAGGCACAGGAGGACGCTCAGCACCACACTTGTAGCAAAATTTCTTGAACGACAAATTGGTCTTCAACCCACACTTCTTCTCGGGACAGCGCCAGACATCGCCGCGACTGAGACTGCCCATGGAAGGTGCGAACAGGGGGAAGTATGCTCCACCAGGTGCTCACATAAAGTGGAGTATGCAAGCTGGCCTGACAGGCTGATTGGCTGAAAACTGTTGGGGGCCGCATATCCCCCTCGCCAGAAAGGTCAGGTCCTTGAGCGAAACGCTACGGACTTGAGCCAAAATGGCTACGGATCTCCTCCTCCTCCTACTCCTCCTCCTCCTCCTCCTCCTCATCCTCCTCCTTCTCCTCCTCCTCCCTCTCGTCCTCCCCGTCCTAAATCCACCCCTCCTCCCGCACGCTGTCCCCGCGTGCTGCGTTGGTCGCGGGGCAGCCCAGCCGCGGTCTGCCAAGCCCAATCCCCCCCTTGTCGTCTGAGGTGGAACGATACAGTCGGACCTAGCACAGAAGAACATCCTTCAAGAACATGAGACCCTCCGTCGGCCAAACACACAGAACATACAAGGGTACCCTCCCCCAGGATGCCCAAGAACCTCCAACAAACACGAAGAACACTAGGATACCCTCCCCGACCCGATCTCGACCTTATACATCGGTCCGACTGTAGGGGAGTCAGGGGGGCGGCCGCGGAAGGAGGGGATCGTGGGGGCGGCACTCAGGACAGGATGAATCGGACTGACTACTGGTGCTGCCCCTACTCCGGCACACGCTAGCATACATTACGGATCCGTAGGTCGCCGGATCCACGGATCGGGGAAAGCCCCCCCCCGAAAAAGGAACCAGCGCCGCTTCATCCAGCGACTCGGCGGGTCGATTTTGCATTGGATCAGGAACCCAAGAATTCCGGCAGCGCCCCCTTTGAGGGGGAACGATAACGGGGACGGCGACGGGTGGGACTCACCGCAGATAGATCGGCGATAGGCCCCATAACTGGCGTTCGGGACGATTCTGGCGCAACCGGAACACCACCGACGAGGCACAGAGGATGGAAATCACCCCGGGCCTCGAAAATGTCCAGGAACATCTAAAAACATAGGAAAACATCCGAAAACCTGTGATAGCAGTGCCCCTCAGGCTGCCCCCCCGAGCCCATGCGTCCCAAGCCCCCCTCGTCCGACCCGAAAGAGGAGACGAGGCCCTCCCTGGAGCCGCCCCAGCGCCAGGGCGCGCGGCCACCGCGTCCTCCGTGAGTAGCTTGATCTCGTTGTGACTCAGTCTCAGGTGCCGGAGGGTGGGCACCTCGCGCAGCACCGGCGGCACCTGCGGGAGCCCCTCGCTTCAGAGCCAACTTCTGGAAGGCCTTCGTCGGAATGATTGAGGGCTACTAGGGTAGGGGGCCACATGCGAACCCTACCCCTACCCCCCAAGATTTCTGAGGGGGAGGGGGGGTTCGCATGTGGCCCCCTAGCTACTACACCCGATTAGGAGCCATGAAGCCCAGCACCAAACCAAAATGAGCCAGACCGAGACGGGATTCAGCGGAAGCCTGATCGGGCAAGAACGGGAAGCGCCGATGTTGTCCATGAGGTTCGTAAGGATGATGGCGACGACAAGGCGGCGGACGACGAGGATGACAGCGTGGATGACGGGGAGTTCAGCGATGCGAGCAGGAGGACAACGTGTAGGAAGACACGAACGAGGACGACGAGGAAGATATGGAGAAGGACGAATACAATGAGGAACGAATCGTAGGGGCATGACGAGGAGGATGAGGAGGCAGAAGATGAAGAGAGGAAGAAGAAGAAGAAGAAGAAGAATAACGAAGACGAAGAAGAAAAACGGTAAGGAGCCCGAGGGAAAAGACGTCGAAGAAGGGGGGTGTCCTTATGATCATTCAGAGCTACCCTGGGGGCTGTTGGGGCCATCTGGTGTTTTCTTGGCGCATCCTGGGGGCCTCTTGGGGGCCTGTCAGGATCCTCTTGGGGGCTACTGGGGTCTTCTTGAGCTTTCTGGGCGTGTCTTAGGGGATCTGTGAGGCCTCTCTCGGGCCATCTTGGCGCCATCTTGGGCTGTCTTGGGCCGTCTGGGGCCTCCCGGGACTCTCTTGGGGCCCTCTTGGGGCCTTCTTGGGACCCTCTTTGGGTCCTCCGGGGGGCCTTGGAGGCTCTTATGGGCCACCGTGCGCCCCACCAAGAGCGTTTCCAAGACGATGTTGACTCGGGACCCCCTTCCGCAGCCCTTTCCTTTTGAGGACCTGCTACGTACGTATATGTACATATGTATACACATCCATAACAACAACAACAACAACAACAACAACAATCATTTTACCCGAACGCTCAGTGTTCTCCCCAGTGCCAGGGCTTTCTTGCGACACCAGCCAATACCCCCACTTCGTGGAGGGGCCGTTCAAGCTCTACCAAATATCCAAACGACTCTTCGAGACCACCCACACCCAGCTTCCCGCCCTATGACGTTGGGACACTTCACTTCGTGGCGTGCGGACGACCCTGGCTACTACACTGGCGTGGGGTACACACCCACAGAGGTTGATCACATCTGTTACATATGATGTGGTACACGGTACACGTGAGATGGTACGCAGTGCCAAGATAGTTGGTCACATTTTTGGGGCAAATTCGTGGGGATGCGATTAGGTTTTAAAGATCTGGGGCCATCTTGGGTTTTAAAGATTCATCAAGAGACCGCGAATGGATTTCGAGATTTTTCGGATGAGAAAGTAGTGCGTTTTCATATGTTTTCTGAACATCGCATCTTGAAATTATTGAAAACCCATTGTGTTTGGCAGGATTTCGACATGCGCGCGCGGCGGCCGCGCGCATGTGCACTTCGTCTCATTTTTTGCAAGGGATGGTGGCCCTCGCAGGCGCGCAACCGTTGTTGGAGAAGTTCAAAGCACCTGAAGAAGTAGCACGCAAAGACCCTTTTGACAGAAATGTTTAAAAAGTGGTGTGTTTCCTATGAATCCGCAAGAGCGCGCGGAAGGACATTTTGACAATTTTTTCTTAAAAACCATTGGGTTTTTGATGTTTTTATGTTAAAATCGCTACGAAACCTAAGGTTTTGGAAGGATTTCGTCTTGCGCGCACGAATGTCCACTTTACCTTATTTTTTGCAAGGGATTCTTGCAATTTGATCAAGTAAAAACAAGAATTTTCATTTTCTATTGTTTTTTGCAAGGGAAAACGAGCGTCAACAAAAAACCGGATCCGGAGCTCATCCACTTTTCTGAAGCTTTCGCGAAAAAATGATGAAAATGTAGCTGCGGCCTAGGCGCGGCGCAGAGGTCGCGCACCAGGGGTCCCAACAATAATAATTCTTTAGAAGGAATAATGTTCAACAACAGCAACAACAACAACAACAACAACATCAACAACAACAACAACGACAACGACAACGACAACGACAACGACAACGACAACGACAACGACAACGACAAAGACAACGACAACGACAACGACAACAACAACAACAACAACAACGACGACAACAACAACGACAACAACAACAACAATCAGTTTAAGACTGTTCGCCCTTATATGCTCGAGCGTCCAATAACGCGTATTCCCCAAACCCTCGATACCCACCCTCTTCGTCTTCGATCGAACCCCTTTTGGGGGGTATACCTTTCTTCCCTGCAGGCTGGGCCCAGGCAAGCAGCGGGGCGGCCGCGGACCGTCGGCCTGGCCAGCGGCAGCGGTGATCGGCGGGGCGGCCGCGGACCGTCGACCCGACCCCAACAGGGACGGACAGGGGACCGACCACGACGACGATAACGACGACGACGACGACGACGTCGAAGACGACGGCGACGACGACGGCGACGACGAGCGAAAGCAAGAGCGAGAGAGAACGACAGCAGGGCCACGAAGGGCACGAAGTAGGCCACGAAGGGCGACAGCGGGGACACGAAGGGAACGCGTATGGGGCCACGCAGACCGCGAACGGGCGGGGGCCACGAAAAGCAGATAATGCGGGGCCACAGCGTGGGGCCACTGAGGGTAGCAATCGGGCCACGTAGGACAATGAGGGGGGCACAAATGGCGACAGCGGGGCCACGAAGGGCATGCACATGGGGCCACAATAGGCGCGAGTCCTGGGTGCCTGGGTGTCGGGAGCGCGGCGCTTGGGCAAATTGCCGGAAATTCCAACGCAAGGCCATTCTTCAGTAAGTTGCAAGCAAGTCTCCAGCGAGACCGCGACTCCAGAGCGCCGGGGGAGCGATTCCTGAATAAATTGAAAGGAAGTCCCAAGCGGGAGCGCGATTCCTGAATAAAATGCGCGCAAGTCTCGGGCGGGAGCGGGGGTCCTGGCTAAATTGTAAGGAAGTCTCAGGCGGGAGCCGTTGTTGTTGTTGTAACCCGGGGGCCAGGGGCCCAGTTTGAGCAGGAAGACTTTCCCTGTCAAAAAACAAAGTGCGAGCGTCGAGGGGCACACTTTGATTGAGAAAAAAAAGTATGCACCGGTGGGGGGATCAACAATAATTATTCTTCAGAAGTGAGAATTCAACAACAGCAACAGCAACAGCAACAGCAACAGCAACAGCAACAACAGCAACAGCAACAGCAACAGCAACAGCAACAACAACAACAACAACAACAACAACAACAACAACAACAACAACAACAACGACGACGACGACGACGACGACAACAACAGCAGCAAGCATGAGACTGTTCGCCCTTATCTGCTCAGGTGTCCAATATCGCGTTTTTACCTAACCCTCGATGCCCGCCCCCTTCGTCTTCGATCGAACCCCTTTTGGGGGGTATACCTTTCTTCCCTGCAGGCCGGGCCCCGGCTAGCGGCGGGAAGGCCGCGGACCGTCGGCCTGGCCAGCGGCAGCGCTGATCGGCGGGGCGGCCGCGGACCGTCGACCCGACCCCAACAGGGACGGACAGGGGGACCGACCAGGACAACGACGACGACGACGACGACGTCGACGACGACGGCGACGACGACGACGGCGGCGACGACGACGACGAGCGTAAGCGAGAGCGAGAGGGAACGACAGCAGGGCCACGAAGGGCACGAAGTAGGCCACGAAGGGCGACAGCGGGGACACGAAGGGAATGCGTATGGGGCCACGAGAAGCGCGAACGAGCGGGGGCCACGAAGGCCAGATAATGCGGGGTCACAGAAGGCAACGATGGGGCCACTGAGGGTAGCAACTGGGCCACGTAGGACAGTGAGGGGGCCACAAACGGCGGCAGCGGGGCCACGAAGGGCACGCACATGGGGCCACAACGGGCGCGAACGAGCGGGGGCCACGAAGGGCATACGTATATCGGGCCGCGGAGGGCAGCGAAGGGGCAACTGAGGGCAGCAACGGGGCCACGAAGGGCAGCGAGGGGGCCACGAAGGGCGACAGCGGGGCCACGAACAGCATGCATATGGGGGGCCACCACGAGCGCGAACGAGCGGGGGCCACGAAGGGCATACAGATATGGGGCCACGAAGGGCTGCAACGGGGCCACGAAGGGCAGCGAGGGGACCACGAAGGGCTGCAACGGGGCCACGAAACAAAGCGAGGAGGCCACGAAGGGCTGCAACAGGGTCACGAAAGGCTGCAACGGGGCCACGAGTGGCTGCAACGGGGCCACGAAGGGCTGCAACGGGGCCACGAAGGGCTGCAACGGGGCCACGAAATAAAGCGAGGGGGCCACGAAGGGCTGCAACCGGGCCACGAAGGGCAGCGAGATCCCGATTCCTAAGTGATCTGTGAGGGAGTCCAAAAGCGTGAGCGCGACTCCTGGGTGCCTGGGTGTCGGGAGCGCGGCGCTTGAGTACATTGCAAGAAATTCCGACGCAAGGGCGCTATTCTTCAGTAAATTGCAAACATGTTTCCAGCGAGAGCGCGACTCCAGAGCACCGGGAGAACGATTTCTGAATAAATTGTAAGGAAGTCCCAAGCGAGAGCGCGATTCCTGAATAAAATGCGCGCAAGTCTCGGGCGGGAGCGGGGGCCCTGGCTAAATTGTAAGGAAGTCTCAGGCGGGAGCCGTTGTTGTTGTAACCCAGGGGCCAAGGGCACAGTTTGAGCATCAAGACTTTCCCTGTCAAAAAACATGGTGCGAGCGTCGAGGGGCACACTTTGACTGAGAAAATACCATATGCACCGGCGAGGGGGGATCAACAATAGTATTTTTCAGAAGTGGGAGTTCAACAACAACAACAACAACAACAACAACAACAACAACAACAACAACAACAATCATTTTACCCGAACGCTCAGTGTTCTCCCCAGTGCCAGGGTTTTCATGCGACGCCAGCCAACACCCCCACTTCGTGGGGGGGCA